CTTTAGTGTGCCTCTGCGGTGAAAGGAAAGATGTACACAGTTTACTCTTACCTTAGCCTGACCTTCCTGGAGTAGCACTTTGTCCCCAGGTGAAAGTCTTCCCATGTAATTGACTTTTCCTGCACTTTTGGCCTGTGATCTATGGGAGGGCCATTTGTAGTTGAGTGTTTGGGGTATGAGTAACACTGAACTATGTTTACAGCAGACTTGGTCTTACATAAGAAAAACTAACTCACTAGACCAAGCTAGCATTTAAAAATCTCATAGGAACCTAAAAACGTTAAGCACATGCTAATCACATAGGAATAGCCACACAGAACTTTCAAAAATGTATTGCATTTATTTATTTATGTATGGGGCACATACTGCCGCAGTGCACATTTGGAAGTCAGGACAACTTGTGGGAGATTGAACTCTGTCATCAGGCATGGTGGGGAGTGCCTTTACAGGCAGAGACATCTCACTGGCGCCTATGACACACAGAACCTTTAATGATAGTGACACATGCTCGAAAAGGTTATTTTGATTTTATTTTGAGTCTCACTGAGTAGCCATGTTAGCCTGGGGCTTGCTTTGTAGACTAGACTGACCTTGAACTCACACAGGTCTGCCTTCTGTGCTTACTAAGGTATTGGGATATTTTGAAACACTGACTCTTGTGAACTAGATATCAACTAACTAGAATTGCATTTCAAAAATTAATTCCAAACCCAGAGAGGTGACTGTTAAGAGGACCCAGGCTAGGTATCCACATGGGAGTTCACAGTCATCCGTGACTCCAGTTCCAGGGGATCCAGTGCCCTCATCCAGCCTTTACAGGTACTTGGTGTGCATGCATGCCTACAGGCAAAACACTCTTAAAACAAAACCATTTCTTTGAAATGTGGGCCTGAGTATCTTAATGGAGTTGAGATGGAAGTTGAACTTAGGGATAAGAAAATGAACATTTTGGAGGGAAATAAATGAATGAATCAGTTTTCTTTTCCTTCCTTCCTTCCTTCCTTCCTTCCTTCCTTCCTTCCTTCTTTTCTTTTTCTTTCTTTCCTTCATTTTTTTTTTAAACAAATACCATGTCCTCATTAAAGTCATTTTTGTTTTGAAATTTTAAGGTGTTAGTTGGCCAGGAAGCCATTTTCCATGTACATGGTTTTTCTTAGGGAAACATAATAGGAACACTTTCTAGACTTTACTATTATGACTTTTTCCTGTAGGGTAATACTGGGCTTCTGTTAATCTAGTCACTGTGTTTTGTGAGTTCAGTGGTAAAAGGTGCTTGAAAAATTGTTTGGCTAAATCCAAAATACTATATTTGATTTTTTTATTTCCCCTCAGATAAACCACTCATTTTGGCGCCTTGGGATTAAATGTGCAGTGTGTGCTCTACTGCTAAGCCATACTCTTTTTAGGAAAATAATTTTTCTCAATATGATTCTTAAATGTATTGAGTTAAAAAAGGAGGGAAGGGAACACAGAGGTTTAAGCACAGAGTGGTCTGTGTTCACAGTGTGGGCATTTTTTTATTTTGTAAAGCAAACAGGTGAGTTTTACTATTCAGATTATGGAAATTTTTCTGTTTTTTCCTCCCCCCCACCTTTCCTTCCTCCTTTTTGGTCTAGAATAAAAACAAGACTCTTAACATCGCCTGAGTATTGCATGTCCTTTGCATTTCCTTGCATTCATACCACTATTGACTTTTCTTGGAAACTTGGTAATATCTAAGTGGTCTTAACACTTGAGGACTGAAGAGTGTCTGCTTGATCATATTTACCAGCCACTCGGTTCTAGCCTTTTAAATACATAGCAAAGTAAATCTTATCTTCACCATTGACTGCTGAATCATTGAGGCTGTCTCCTGGAAGAAGGTCTCCACTAGGCTTCTAATAGCAGTAGAAAAAATCTACTGCCAGGTGTGGTGGCACATGCCTTTAATCCCAGCACTCAGGAGGCAGAGGATCTCTGTGAGTGTGAGGCCAGCCTAGCCTATAGAGCTAGTTCTAGGACAGCCAGAGATAGACAGAGAAACCTGCCTTGAAAAACCAAATTTAAGAAAAAAGAAAAATCAAATTTTCTTCCTCTTAAGTCTTTGTTCCGGATCCTCTTGTCTCTTGCTTCCCAAGAATCCTGTTTAATCTAGTAACCCTTTTCCTCTTCCTTAGGTTGGCAAACTTTTGATATCTTTCTCGTGTCGAGCACCACCTGTGTGGCCTGGGAAAAGGAGCTGGGGATGTTAGTTGAAAATGGCCTGGGCAGGGGCAGGTGTAATTTAGCTAGGAGAGCCAGTAGCCTGTGGCAGCAGTACATCCTCTTGGAGGGAGGTGATGGCTAAACTTGCTCTCTGGAAGGAGCTGGAAGGAATGCTGTCAGCCGGCTACAGGAAGTGCAGGCTGCTTATCAGACACTACAGAGCATGCAGACACGGGACATCTCCTGACCGTCCAATTTGCTCCCCTGTCAGTTGTGCTCCAGGTGCTGCTCATTTGTGCAACCTCCTAAAGAATATTTTTATTTTTTTAAGAATATTTTTATTTCCTTGCAGACTAAAAATCTATACTTGAACCAGATGAAATCATTAATTATATTTAAAACTAAGATGTATGGCATGAAATGAAGTAGTTTGTGTAATGTTGATACTTAGTTGGATAAGGCAGTCTTTTATCTTTTCCCTCACTGTTTTCTAATATCTAGCTTTCTGTCAGGAAGCCACCAATGCAGTGAACAGTTCTTGGCTTGTAGAAGTTGTTTAAGTTGTGCTTTTTAGCCTTTAAGATCCCATCTTCAGCAGGCAGCAGCACACTGGCACAGTACTGTTGGACTAAAGTCCCAGATAAGCCGGGTTGTCTCGATGCCTCCAACATTAGGGAATGGAGAGAAAGCTACAAAAGATTATATCAGGATTAATTCAAACGTACTTTCCAGGTTCACTTTCTCCATTGTACAGTGGCCTAAGGACACTCAGCTACTTTAAAGGGGTATAAATGTGACATACTCAAGCAGAAAATAATGCTATGTTTCAGAAAAATTTCCAAGATTGAAGTAAAAATGGATTTCTTGTTTACTTGCAGTTAATTAACTTTCAGGGATTTAAATTATTTCCTTTTTGGTTTAGTTCATCAGGATTGTCATTGAATAATGCATTTAAAGGATACAAATAAGCCTAGGTCTTTGAGAGATGCATCCTGTGATGAGCTGTAGCAGCAGTTCTCAACCTTCCCAATGCTAGGACCCTTTTATGTAGGTCCTCATGTCGTAGTGACCCCCAACCATAAAGATATTTCTGCTGCTACTTCATAACTGTAATTTTACTACTGTTATGAGTTGAAATGTAAATGCTTTTGGAGATAGTTCGCCCAAGTGGTTGTGACCTGTGGGTTGAGAATCACTGGACTATAAGTGAGGTGGTATGAGAGCTGGTAGGTCACCAGTCAGAGTACAGGAAGATAGTCTATGTTATAGCTCTTGTTTCAGTGAAGGATAGATGATGTATTTCATGTTGTGAGAAGTTTGTTTCCATCCGTGAGTGTGCAGCTTCTTTTCCCTCTCTGACAGTGCCACGGCTTCTATCTTTGAGTCTCTCAGAGATTCTCAGAATGCCCTTCAGATAGGAAGGGTCCTAGAAAAATCACTAGGAGTTGAATTCCTGAGGCTATTTTGTTCTCTCGCTTCTTCTACAAAAGCTGGGTGATTTTTTATGAACAAATTACTTAGCCCTCTGGGTCTGTTCTCTCCTACGTTCAGTCATGAAGCTGAAGTTTGTGATCTGTCACTTGGACCAAATCAGAACCTCAGGAGTTCTTAGTGGTGATACTTAGACTGCAGAAGACTGTATCTTTAATGCATTTGATCCTCCATTTCTGTTGCAGTATTTGAAGAGCCCAAGTATTTTGCTGAGAAGACAGAATTGGGACTTAAAGAAGAAGAGTGTAGTGGGCCTTGCACAGGAGACTGGCTCTGGTGGGAGGGAGGGCACAGGTCTTGACAGCAGCAGAGTGGAGAGCCTGCTGCCTCTGTCTTATTTTGCTTTGGGTTTCAGTCAGAAGTGGCTCCTTGTCAGTGTAGGGCACATGAAAAAGGAAAACACAAAGCCTTTAGGCACAAGCAAAGTAAAAGAGATGATTAATTCCTTCTAGGAAAATAGAAGGGAAAGAATCTTAGTAAGAGGAAAGTGTCTCAGGAAAGAAAGGCACCTGCCAGCCACCAAGTCTGATGGCCTGAGTTCTGCCCTATGTTAGAAGGGAGAACGGACTACTACAGATTGTCCTTTGACCTTCACATTAGCATCTTGACATGTATGTGCCCTTAATCACACATGCAGGAGCGAGCGTGCATGCACACATGCACACACACACATACACACACACACACACACAGAGAGAGAGAGAGAGAGAGAGAGAGAGAGAGAGAGAGAGAGAGAGAGAGAGAG